AACTTCCTTTCTTGAAGCACAAGTAAGCTGCCCGCAAAACAGTCAAAAGGCAGCTTTCGTACTAACTTCGCGCCTTTCGTTCGAGACCTTCCAGAACTCCGATCTTTCATCCGATTCCTTCCCTTGGTAGATAAACATACCTAGTTTCATTTTGTAGAAGCCTTTGGTCTCGAATCAGATCCATGCTCCTTGAATTGAGCTCCAAAGTAGGCTTCACAAAACAGTTTTCTGCCTTAGCCATTTTCTGGCAGTTTTCCAGTTTTGAGGTAGCAACTTTGAGGCCTTGGAAAACAACCTTAATGACATCATCTGGCTCCATAAAGCATACCATTGGAAAGATGGTAACTTGATCTGCAAAACAAACCTTTAAACTTGAATTTCCACCAAGCACATTGAGAGAACCATGCCTCCAAAGTATGTACCCTGAACACGGATTTTGACTTAGCCAAATTCTGCCCTTCTTCTTTCCAACCATTGATAGCTTCTTTGGCAAGTAATTGTGACTTGTAGAAGTGGCCAATTTGGATCATATCACCTTGGCACCATGAAAGTGATAAAACAATGAACAGTAACACAACAGGAGAAGAACAGAAGTCGGGAGACAAGAGATCCCAAACATATGCTACATCCCATCCTGAGGAGAGCTGAAAAGAACAGAATGAAACAGAGGGAAATCCATCGAGTCACAAGGCAGAAGCAAAAATCACAGGAAACAGGAAATGGATTAGGCTGGAAAGAAAGAAAGTGGATAAACAGGAAGGAGCAAAGAAACCAGTGGGTGGCAAAAGATTACACGAGGATGGAGTGATAGATATGGAGATTGATCCTTTGCCTTGTGGTGGTAAGAAGATGAAACAAAACTCAAAACTTAATGTGGATGGCGTAGTGGCGTACCTTGTTGGTGAGCAAGGCCGTCGAGCCCAATGAGACTCATAGGTTTCAACTGTCGAGGTCTGGCCAAACCTCGGCAGTTGATGAATTGAAGCGGCTCGTGGGGAAACAGAGACCTGACGTTTTGTTCTTGATGGAAACTCGACTGTCCAACAAAGAATGGAGGAATGTGAAATGGAAACTTGGTTACAAAAATGGTTGGGGAGTCCCAACCAGAGAAGATAAGGGGGTTAAAGCTGGGGGAATATGTTTGTTCTGTAGGGAGGGAATCACGATCTCCTATCTGTCCAACGCTATAAACTACTATGATGTCACAATGAATTATGAGGAAGAAGGGCCAAAGTGGAGGCTGACGGGGTTCTATGGTAATCCTTACAAGAGTGAAAGAGATCTGTCATGGGAGAAACTTCGAAGGCTGAAGGGAGCATATGATAGTCCATGGTTATGCATGGGGGACTTCAACCAAGTCATGGCTGGGATGAAAAGGAAGGAGGCCTTCTCATTAATGAAAACATGGTTATAAAGTTTTGTCATACTCTTGAGTTCTGTGACCTTATGGACTGTGGCTTTGAGGGTTATCCCTATACTTGGGATAATGGTCGAGGGGGTTCCAATTTTGTCGAAGAATGACTGGATAAGTGTTTGGCCAACTAGGACTGGCAGGTACAGTTCCCAAACCACAAAGTTATCCACTTAGACAGATGCGGATCGGATCACTGTCCAATCCTTATGATCACAAAGGACAAAGAAGAAGAAGACATAAATGGGGATGGCAATTTAGGGTGGAGTCCTACTGGCTGAATGATGCAGAGATCAAGGATGTCATCTCCAAAGCCTGTCACTCTAATGAAAATGACAATATTCTAGAGATCCTGAGCGAATGTAAAAAGGAGATACAGAGATGGAGTAAAGAGAAGTTTGGAAACTTACAAAAAAGAATTGAGAAGATTGACCAGGAACTGAGGAGAATCAAGTACTACCCGAAGTCAGTGCAACAAATACAAAGAAGAAGGAGCCTGGAAACTGAGAGAACGGATCTCATCCATAAAAATTGAGCTGAAATGGAAACAGAGATCTAGGGCTGACTAGCTCAAGGGAGGGGATAAGAATACGAATTTTTTCCACACAAAAGCTACTATGAGAAGAAAGCGCAATACCATCAAGGAGATCACCGATGAGACGGGGAGAAAACACAAAGGTCAAAAGGAAGTGTCCAACTATATATTTGATTACTACAGCAATGTTTTCACTGGGATGCCTAACCCTGGTTCTGATTTTGTAGTTAATGCAACTGATAAAAGAGTCATGGATAGTATGAATGAGGAGCTGTCTGCTCCTTTCAAAGAAGAAGAAATCTACAATGCTCTTAAACATATGAGCCCTACAAAAGCTCCTGACTCGGATGGTTTTCCTGCAGGGTTCTATCAACAGAATTGGGACTCCATTGGGGGTCATGTCACGGCAGCTGTTCTACAATACCTTAATGAAGGATACCTCCCCCCTGAAGTTAATCATACCCTGATCGTGCTTATCCCTAAGGTGAAAAAACCGAATTTGGCAAAGGATTTACGTCCTATAAGCCTATGCAGGGTGATTTATAAGACTGTGTCAAAAGTTTTGGCAAATAGACTCAAGGGGTTTCTTAATGAGATAATATATGAAGAGCAGAGTGCTTTCATTAAAGACAGGTTTATTACTGACAATATTATCACTGCTTTTGAATGTTTTCAGTACTTGAAGAGAAAGACCAAAGGAAAAAAGGCTTCTTTGCTGCAAAGCTGGATATGACCAAAGCCTACGACAAAGTAGAGTGGGATATTTTTGGAAAATATGCTGCAGAAGCTTGGTTTCAATGAGAATTGGATAAAATTGGTGATGATGTGTGTTAGGAGTGTTACCTACTCAGTGCTGATTAATGGCCATCGGTCTGATTAATGACAGCCTAGTCTATGGGAGAGCTACCATTGCGGACTGTGAAGAGTTGAAAAGGATACTGAGAATCTATGAGAAGGTGTCTGGCCCGAGTATTAACCTATCAAAGTCTGAGGAGTCTTTTAGCAGGAATTTGAAATGGAGCAGAAGATTGGAGATCAGTGGGACTCTGGGAATCAAAACTGTTGACAAGCATAACAAATACCTCGGCCTGCCTACTGTTATTGGTAGATCAAAGGAGAAGTTTTTGAAGAGCTGAAAGAAAGGGTTAGAAAGAGGCTAAAGGACTGTGAAAGCCTCACTCTCTCGGCTGAAGGGAAAGAAATTTTGATAAAAGTTGTTGCCCAAGCGCATCTTATCTATCCTATGATGGTTTTTCAAATCCCATAAGGAATTCTATAGGAAATTCAGAGGCTGATTGCCAGATTCTGGTGGGGACAAAAGCAAGGATCCATTGGAGGAAGGGCTATGTTTGCCTAAGGAAGCGGGTGGATTGGGGTTCAAAGACCTGAGAACAGTCAATACAGCTATGCTGGGGAAACAGATATGGAACATCTTAAATCGACCAAATTCACTGATGGCGAGGGTACTCAAGGCGAGGTACTATCCAAAAAACGAGATTTTGAATGCTAAGCTTGGCAGCAATCCTAGTTTCATATGGAGAAGCCTTGTCAATGCTAAAGATGAAATTGTGGATGGATTTCGATGGAGGGTGGGAGATGGAGAAAACATCAATGTGTGGGAGGATTGGTGGATCCCAAACATCAGGAAACTTTCTACTAGTGATAAGAGCAACGACTTGGTGCCAAACATGAAAGTGAGCTCTCTTATTGACAGAGAAAGCGGTTGGTGGGATCTGCCTAAGCTCCAATCTCTATTCTCAAGTAATGTTCAATCAGATATTATGAAGATTCCTCTAAGAAATCCTCCAGCTGGGGACTCAGTTCTTTGGTATAGGATCGAAAACAGTATCTATACCATTAAATCAGCGTACAGGGAGCTAAGGCAGAAGAAGCATCCTTGGTTGGAAGATAATAACTTAGACGCTCAAAGGATGAAAATCTATTAGAAGAAGATTTGGAACCTCCCAGTCCAACCAAAAGTTAAATTTTTTATTTGGAAGATCAGCAAAGATATATTACCTGTTGGAACCAACATTGAGAAGCGTATCGAAGATGCTCCATCTGACTGCCCCTTCTGCGGACTTCCCGAAACCCAACTCCATTGTCTGAGGGACTGTGAGTGGACTCGGCGTCTCTGGCAACCTCATGACGATTCTGGTATCTTTAGCCAAGGGGAAGGGCTATCGAGGAGTGACTGGTTTCACAAAGTCTTTGAATCCCAATCGGAGGAAAGCCTGCAAAAATTTTGTGCGATGCTTTGGTTTATCTGGAAAGAGAGGTGCAACCACACGTTTAATAACAAGAAACTTGAGGCCGAGGAGATTATACTGAAAGCTCTTGACTGGATTGCAGACTACCTTCAAGCTCAGGGCATCACAACACCAAGAGAAAGGCAATCAACTGAAGCCCGGGGTTGGAGGAAACCACTAGCAGGAATCTACAAGATGAACAGCGATGCAGGGCTTTTGAAACCATATGGAATTGGTGTTGGCTGTGTTTTCAGGAATTGGGAAGGTTTTTATTTTTGGGAGCAGTAGCTGGGAAAGAGAATGGAAATTGCAGATCGATAGAGGCGGAGGCTAAGGCAATGATTGTTGGGCTGAGAGAGGCGAATCGAAGAGGCTGGAGCCCTCTAATCGTGGAATCTGACTGTCTGAATTTGGTGAAGATGCTGGATAAGGAAGAAGAAGATCGAACATATCTGGGTATGTGGTGCAAGGAGATCAGGGACTTAGCTAAGGTCAACTCGACTCTATCCGGCAGAAGAATCGAGTGGGCTTTCGTGCCAAGAGAATCAAACTCTGTAGCCCATTTTTTGGTCCACTTGGCTCCTCAATGGAACCAGCTTTATATCTGGACTGAAGGTCCACCCAGCTCCATTAGGAGCCTGTTAGAGGCTGACGAAGCCCAAAACTCTCGAAGTTAAGTTATAATATGAACAGGGCTTTCTATATAAAAAAAAGTTTTTAGAGATGAGGGTATAGGGAGATAACGATGAGAGAGTAATTGAAAGAAATTTTGGACACAAATTAAAGAGGAAAAAACCCGAGGATCGTAAATATGAACAATGAATTCAGTTCAACAACACGTAAGAAGCTGTGAAGGGGAGGGGGAAGGAACGCTAAATAGAATAAATGCCTCTTCTCCATGGCGGGAACCATTGGCGCCATTAATTCAGGATTCGCGCCATAACTGGCGAGTTTCTGCCTATTTAATCGACCGCCACTAGTGGCTACTATGAACTATCGTCTCCCAATCACGTCTTCCCATTTCGCCCCAAACCATCACCCCACTCCTCAAAATGGCCCAAGCAGCGGAGATCAAGAACGGCAGCGCCGAAATCCAGGAGCCGGCGGCGAAGATCCCGAAGCTCGACCAGCAAAACGGCGTCCACTCCGCCCTCGTCCCCGCCGATGTGCCTTTCTTCAAGGTGAAGAAGCTTTCCCCGAAGGCCGTCTTGCCCACTAGAGCCTCTCCTCTCTCCGCCGGCTACGATCTCTCCAGGTGAATTTCCCCTCCCCTCCCCTCTCCGTCTCGCTCTCCCTCTTTCTTCCAGTAACCCATACTGCTCCTGAGATTCTGATTAGTCCGACGAAAATTCCAGTGCTGCGGAGGCGAAAGTCCCGGCGAGAGGAAAAGCCCTAGTTCCGACGGACCTGAGCATCGCGGTGCCTGAAGGGACATACGCCCGCATAGGTAACTTTTTTATTTCTTCTAATCGATCAACTCTTTTCGCTTCGATTTACTCGCTGAAATAGTCGTTTAACCTTGGGATAATCACTGGTTTTGCTTCACCGGCGCTACAGCTCCGAGGTCCGGACTCGCGTGGAAGCACTCGATCGACGTGGGAGCGGGAGTGATAGACGCCGATTACAGAGGCGCCGTCGCGGTGATCCTGTTCAATCACTCCGACGTCGACTTCGAGGTCAAACAAGGCGATAGGATTGCTCAGCTGATTATCGAGAAGATAGTTACTCCCGAGGTTGTGGAAGTTGAAGATTTGGAGGCCACCGTTAGAGGCGAAGGAGGGTTCGGCTCCACCGGCGTCTGAAATCCATTTCATTTTTACCGTTCGCTAACCCTCGTCGCCGACTTGTTTTTTCCCCCCATTTGCTTCGGCCTCCGTTGTAGGGGTAGTTTAGTGATATTAGCGGACGATGTTGCTAAATCGGATAATAGAAAGTAGTGCAGTAGCAGTAGTAAACTAGTAATCAGAGTCTAGAAGCTTTATGCCTTGGGTATCAAGTTATCAACTATCAAGTAGTAATCTATATTCCATCAATTCTTTTTGTCATCCTCTCTCTCTCTCTCTAGGTTCAGCGGATTATACCCACTGCAGCATGCCAGCATTACCAGCTGCCAATTGTGGAAAGCATCATGGATTCCTGGGCAACAAGCTTGCACTTATCGGGGACATGACTTAACGAGACTTGAAAAATATTAATTTGAGATACAGCAACCTGTAGTACTGCTGAATGTAGGGTAAGCGAGATTCGATTCGTTATATCTACGGTACAAAAGCAAGGCCTGATGAAAGAAGAAGGGATGGTCAGCCAGCGTGCAAAAGGTTCCTGCTTGTTTAAACCTTGGGTAGAAGGGTTGAAGGAGTGGCTGGGACATCTAAGCTCTCCTGAAAAGGTTCAAGAGAAGATATAAGTCCAGAAGTTCAAGTGCATCGGTAGTGGTCACAACCCTTCTGCATTATACCTGTAGGTACTTGTTTAGCAATGTAGTGGTGCTGGAGTTGAAGCCCTGGACTGGCGCTTTCTTTGTCCGTGAAGCATGAAGTTGCTTTCTAACTTGAGTGGCAAGTGACTGCACAAGAACGATCATTGAACCAAAGTGTTAAAGCAAGTGTTGAAAGAAAGTCGCTATTGAACATGAGAGGAAGAACCGGATTTTATTAGATTTCGGAAGGAAGTGAAAGTACTCAAAACACTAATTACCACCCACCTTCCCTAACTCGACGCCCCACTGGTCGAACGAATTGATGCCCCATATGAAGCCCTGTACAGCTACTCTGTGTTCATAGATTGCCAACAACTGCAAACAAGTATCATGTCTTGAACATTTAGGCTAGCAATAGAGACTCCATGAGTTGCAATAGAACCAATGAGAGACAAATAGAAAAACAGATCATGTATGAGCATAAGTAGGAAAGAACGTACCTGTCCAATTTTATATGCGTCCAATGAGGAAAGCAGAAGGCTGATCGAAGGTCTGTTGCCAGTAAATGTCTGCAAGATAACAGTATGGTTAGTCATAATGTTTCCTCAGACAAGTTGTTACAGTTAAAAGAGAAACTTCATCTATGAATCTACCTTGTGAGGAATCAGATGATCTGGGACATTCTCCTTCAGCAGTTGTTCATGTGTCTGCAGAAGGCTAGTGATTAACAGAGACCCAAATGTGGCATCAACTTTGTTGTACTAAGATTCATTTGGGAAAGTATGGAACTACCTTTCCATATGCAAGAGCATCGGGCTGAGCAAAAAAGTTAGACATGAGTTCATCATGGTTGTTGACAATCTCCCCTGCACAGACAAAATTGACAACAAATTGATATGTCATGATTTGGACAAAAGGGATACAAAGATAAACTTTCTGAACATACCTTCCAAGTATACTGGCTGCTGGCTCTTTATAACACCAATAAAATCACAAGGAATGACACGCCCCTGAATAAGCCAAATATTTAAACATCAGTTCAACATAGGATAACATGGCTCATGGTTTAAGTAGAGGGTAACCCCATGTGACATTCTGTTTTTAAACGAAGGAAAATGTCAGTTACCTGGTGAATTAGTTGATAAAAGCTATGCTGACCGTTGGTTCCCGGCTCACCAAAATCAATTTCACCTGTCTCAAGCGGAAGTGGCACCCCATCAATGGATACTCCCTTGCCATTACTTTCCATGCTAACCTGACATTGAGTATCGGATAGAATTTTCAGCACTGAGCTCATAAAATATCTTCAAAATATACAAGGAAGCATACTCCGAAACAAACATTGGCAGTCTCTTTCTCACCTGTTGGATATGTGGTGCAAACTTTTCCAGGGCTTGGGAGTATGGCAGGATGGCCTGGAAAAATACCAATATGATTATGGGAATACGAGACAAATAAATTAAAAAAAAAAAACATGAAGTTGTTGCAATCTCAACAGAACATACTCTTGCAGGATATCCAAGAAACGAAACATTCCACACGCTCAATAAACCTAAGAGAACCTGCACAAAGATTAAGTAGACATGAAACAAGAATCTACATGATCAATCTAAGTCATTGAAGTATAAGCAGAAAAGGAAATGTTAGAGACAGACCAGCAACCAGTTTCATAGTACATACAGCATGTGAAATCGCAGTGTCTAACAAAACATCAATAAGATTCTAAATAGCATGCTTGTCAACCTGGACTAGATCTTTCTACCAGTGAAAACAGTAGTGCTTGTTCTGTTATTGCATAAAGCTACAAGTATTTCCCTATACAGTCTCTATGGTACTTACTCTACAAAAGTACGATTAGGGGATTACAGACTGATAAACTCATATGACATTGGTACTCACAGGCAGATTTTTCTCGAATGGCGCAGACGAGAAGTGATTATCTACGCTCCATGCTCCATTCAGGAACCTTACAATCACACAAAAGGACTGGCCTCATTAAGCTAGTAATAATGAAGCATAGAAACATGCACCGGATAGATAATTCTTTGTAAGGACACATGTGACGCAAAAATTAGATACAGCAGAACTCGACATTTTGCTTTTACTAAAATTGCAAAACCAAAGGCCGTCCCCGATTTTAGTGAAAATAAACAATTTAACTGAATAAAAATGAGTACAGTGGGGTACTTCAATCACACAAACAACTGAACAACTGCCAGACTACTCGCATCTAGAAAGACCCATAAAACATTTAGCTGGATCGTCGTCTTTTAAAATATGCTGTATAAGGTTTTTATTATTTTAAGATAAGAACTGCTACAACCATTATCGTAGAGTCTAATACTATTGTACATCATAATTTAAAAAGAAGTTACCGTACTTCTCAACCACGGAGAAACCATACTGGAGAGACAAAGGCATCACACCAACTGCACTGCAAACTGTAGAGAGGCCAGATGATTAAGATCAACCATGAAATCCACATAAAAACACCAAGAAGGATAAAATAAGAGAAACTTACCACTATACCTGCCGCCAACCCAGTCCCAAAACGCAAAAGCATTCTTTGGATCAATTCCAAACTTTTCTACAAGCTGCATTACATAGCAGAAAATTACAATAAAGCTAGAACTTTCACAAGGAATTGAAATTTAAAAGTTAGCATAATAGTTAAGTTAGCACAGTGATCATTTTTTTCCAAACCAACAATAAGGGAGAGGCAGAAGTAACGTTTTCAAGAGTGATAACTATACAAAAGACATTGCACTTTCATTCTTGGAACTGTTAACAAGCAATAAGGAAACACAAGAGAGACAAGAATTTCATACCATGAGGTTTGTGCTAACAGCCACCATATGTTTTGCGACTGCAGAAGGTCTGCAGACATTTTAGAAATACATCCATGTCATCCTTTCCACTTTGCATCAGGAAAACTACTAACAAGAAAAGTTGTTGCCCTCCAAATATCGATATACTCTAGAACTCAATCTCAGCGAATTATTAACAAAAGGACTTGTGTCCTTGTCTTCCTCACCCAAGCTCTTTTGAAATCCAAGTTCTTAGCGTGCGGGCATTTAACATGGTTTCAGCTGTGGTGAAAGTTTTTGAAACCACAACAACTGCATGGAATTAAAGGAAAATCAGATGAGCATTTGAAGTCAGGGAAAAGAAACTAAATCAAGAAATAAGCAAGAGAAACAACCACAGTCTACAGTACCACACCAACAGAAAAGGAAGGTCTCTCACCCAACGTTGTTTCAGGGTTCAAGCCTGTAATATTTCTAGCAACATCAATTGGATCCACATTGGCGAGACTGAAAACAATTTATAACAGTTATTAGGATGTATAGCAATAGGAAGGCAGATTAAACATAATCAGAGTCATGGTAATCTTCAGCGCCATACAAGAATAGCCCTTAAAACATATGTGGTCAGCTAACTACTTCCTTTGATACAGAAAGTACTTACAATCGCAGTTGGCGTCCCTTTGCTTGCTTGCTAGCCTCCGGATCTGTGAGTTAATACCAGTAAATAATTCTTCTGTATAAAAAAAAATGCTGGTACACTAATCACAGGGAACGCAAGTTTCTAAACATGGTGTTTTATGGCTATAAGGAGGCATTAGAAAACCTGTTTGAAGGGCAGTGTGCACGAAAAGAGGACCTAAAAAGCTGCCACCAATGCCAACAGAAATAACGTTGGTTAACGGTTTTCCCGTGGCTCCAACCTGTCAATGGATGCCTATTACTGAACAATACAAGAATTGTGCCCCCAAAACTCCAGGAAACTTCACGTTACCTACCCATGAACCATTCCTGACTTTGTCAGAGAAATCCTTAATCTGGTCCAAAACCTTCCAAACATCTGGCACAACATTCTTGCCATCACTCTTAACCACAGCATCTCTTGGAGCTCGAAGAGCCACGTGGAGCACTGACCTATTCTCTGTGCTGTTAATCTAAAAATGGGAGCATAATCACAATGAGAATACTAACCACGCAATCATATCAATGGAAATCGACCTAGTTGAAAACATTGAATGAGGGGAAGTCTACCAAAAACGCTAAAAAAGCGAGATCATGAGAACTATGCAACGGTGTCTACTGACACTCATAAACAAGGACAGCCCGACAAAGTAGCAAGAATGGCAATGAAATTTCCATGGTAGTCGACTGACAAACAATTATAACTCACATGCTCGCCTTTAAACATGCGTTCAATCTTATCTTTCAGATGTGCAGCCTGCAGCAAGAAACACAACACTATGGTCAGTACATTATGTCATAATCAAAGCTCATCGTTCAAAATCGAGAGCGAGCTATTGTTCACCTCCGCCAGCTTTTGCAGTTTATTCAATGTACCAAGAGTAGCTTGCTGGCGTGAGTAGTCCAGTGTTATACCGTCGAACTCACTACACACGTTGCATACAAGTTAATCACCCGATAACAGAATGCAGGCCAAAGACCAAAGCACGGCAACATAAGAGAAAAGAGAAAACACACAGCAGCATTTGCTTGCAGCGCTCAGTATCAGTCAGCAACTCCCGCAGGTGAGTCTTCTTAATCTCCTCAACATGAGCCTGCGGCAAGCAAGATCAAAATCGCGATTATAGCTTTTTCCACAAACGGTAAAAAACACAGCGGAGACACGAAACGGGCATTTTCACCTTCAAATCCTTCCATGGCTGAGTGTCGCAGATCAAAGCCGTCGGAGCCATCTGAAAATTCGACGCGAAGATGAGCACACAGCGCTAATCAAATGTGATTTCCAAAAACATCCAAACAACGGAAAACCAAAACCAGAATTGTTCTCGGTTTCCTTTTCCCTCTACGAAAATGAAATCGCAGCGCGCCGGAGAGAAGCAGAAAACGCGGCAATTGAAACGCCGGATCGCAATTCAGAGATGAGACGATTGTAGAGGATCAGGAATCGGCAATACCTGAACGGGAGATGATGAAGCTCTGGCTACAAGAGGAATCGAGTGAAGGCGCGGTTCGTTTCGTTCGAATTGCAGGACTGCTGGAGGAACGAGTCTGTTTGGCAAGGGGGGGAAATCTGGATTCGATTTCGAAGGGAAGTTGGGGAGTTGAGGAAGAAAGTTCTTGGAGAAGCGTGGGGTTCAAGGCGCAAGGAGATGGGTAAGGAGGGTGGCTGTTTTACAAACAGGAGGTGCGGAACATAAGGGGGAAGCGAGTGAGGTGGTGGAGGGTTCTCGTTGTTTAACGAACTTTCCCTTCGGCCATGGCCAACGGATTTTCGGGGATTTGTTTAATTAATATTTAAAAAAAAAAAATTGGGCGATTATTGTAGGGTTTGATGGCGACCAGCCGGCCGTCTGGTCGGACCCGCTGGTTTTTCTGGGGGGATAAAAACTGGGGGCGGTGGCTGCACGCGGTCAGTGAGTCGTGACTCGTGACTCGTCGTGATGGCACTTTCTCGCCTGGGCTGGGCCTGGTCGAGCTGCTAAATCCTATGCCCGAGGCTGATTCGGAAAAGTATGTAGTTTAGAGTTCGATGGTTAACCGTTATAAAATCGTTGGTAACAGTTGATAAAATCGTTCATGATATATAACATACAAGACTTGCATAATATGTTAATTTAAAAATGAAGTTATCATTGATCATAAACCATTTTAAATTTATATCATCACAAAAATATCTAATAAATCATTGAAACCGTGTCTCACATAAGAAATCCTAAGTTTTTTAATTCAAGTTAAAAATTATGGTGTCAGTTGGTAGTGGATCACGTAAAAATGACAACAAGGTTGAAAAATGAGAAGACGTATATAAAATAAATAATCATGGTTTGATAGTTTTAGTTTACGTTAAAGTATTTTTTTTAAAAAACTTTTGTACTTAAAATACTTAACTAGTGGACTAGTTAAATTGCGGTGGTTCATCTGGTTTTATATTGAATTGTGAAAAATTGTTTGGTCCATCAATAACCGTCCAAACAATGAATCAGACCACTATCATAATTGGTTTGACGA